CATTTTCTAGGAGTGTGATTGAAAGCCTGAGGAAATCAAATGAGCTTCTGAATCAAGAAGTCTCAAAATTGAAAAATCAAGTACTGATCATATCCCCATGTGATTTCATCATTTTTGGTTTCTTCAATTCAATTTTTGGGTTATTGAGAAGCCATTAGAAAAATTGACATTTTCCTTTTTGATTTGCTACAGATTAGAAGTTTGAGGCAGAAATGTGACACACAAGACAAAGAAATTCAGACACTGAACAAAAATGCTCAAGAAACAGCTTTACACAATGCAGAGGAATCATCCAAGCACAAAGCAGCAAAGGAAATTTTGAAGTCCATCACAGATCAGGTATAGCTTTTTCTTACCAAGTAATTAAGTTTGCTGCTGAATATGAGCAACAGCTATTTTAAAATTCAAAGATGCTCTCTACTACAACATAAATTTAACAAAATTATAAATGCTAATTAATATAAAACTTCACATTCGAATTCTATGATCAATTTACAGAAATAAGGAAGATTAACTTGCTTCTAGCAACTGTTATGAATACTTGTTCACTGGCTAAATTTAATGTTGGGTCTATTAACTAGTTATGATTTTAATCTAGAAAGTTTATTTTTTTTCCCAAATGATCTAAAAACTTCAAAATGTACCATAATTATCTATCACTCAAAGTTGTGTGAGTTTTTCTAATGAAATTTCACATCAATGTATAATCAGAAGCAGTAATAAAAAAAATCGATAAAGGTGTTATCAATTGTCAGCAATGAGAAGAAAATTAAGGAAACAAGAGACATAGATTGATTATTGCATAAAATGTGATCTTCATGGGTCATCCCTTGTCTGCATGGTGCCACATGGTTGCTGACATGATATTCTGCTAAGAAAACTAATGAAACTTTCAAATGGGACAAATGCATAAAAATAAAAAATAAAAATAAAAAAAAGAGGGGAAAAAGCAAAGGAACAAAAACAAATGGGACACAAATAATAATAACATGATTGTTAGTTTGCTTGATAAAATTTATAGAACAAATTAAGGACCTTAAAAGAGAATGTGTTGATAATCATTCTACAGATAAGTAAAGATCAAACCAAATTGTTTCTTGATATCCATGAATTGTTCTTCAAAATGCTTGGAGGGTAATGATAATTGAGAACTGTCTGACATCAAATTTAATAGCTCATGACAATAAGGAAAAAGTTAGTAACTTAGTATAAGACCATGCCAACAGTGATGTGAATGAGATGGCTTTTTTTTTTTTTTTTTTTCTTTCACATTTCGGTTAACTAAGCCACTGTTACGAACTAGCCCCTGTTCTTGCTTTCTTGTTTGTTATACAGTTGAAGGAAATGGCAGACAAGTTGCCTGCGGAGGTTTCAACTTTCAGACAGGCAGAAGAATTTTTAAAGGAGAATGGAACATATGAAGCTTCTTCCCTGTCAGCTAAGTCTCCTCAATTGCAAGAGCAGAGAACACAGGAGAATGTAGATGCTGCAGGAGCTAGTCTCCTGCCTAATGATGGTGGAAGTTCTAATGCAGATGAGGCTGCATCTCAACAAAGCTCACAAAATGAATCAGGATCTTCAGAAGCTTCACCAATTAGGGGTGGAGAAAAAGAAACTATTGAACAATTTGAACCTGGTGTATATGTCACTTATGTTCTGCACCGAAGTGGCAGGAAGATCTTCAGACGAGTTAGATTCAGGTACTTGAGCAAATACCAAACTGTTGATTGGATTGAACTGGAATTCCATATAACCATTCTCATCGTGATGTCCTTTTCTTAATATCTTGAGAATGATGTGAGATCCTTTTTTTTCTTAACCTTAAGAAGAAAACAAAATCAAGGAAAAGTAAAAAATAAAAAAAAAATACAGACAGGTAGAACACATACACAGAGAACCAAATTCCTCCCTTGATAATTGCTGAAAAATAAAAACTCATGAGATACACATTTAGTGGAATTTTAGTGCATTTTATTTTCCCATATGATCACAATAATTATAAAGATATCCAGTGTACTATCTACTTGCTCACTTCTACTTTCACTGCCTTAATTTGCCTCTTAACTTCTTTGCAGTAAACGAAAGTTTGATGAGCACCAAGCAGAAGAATGGTGGAACAAAAATAAGGATAGGGTGCTGAAGAGGTACATTACACATAAAACAGGCAGTGCTCAAACTGGATCACCCTCTACTCAACCACCCACAGAAGAAACCGATGAGGCAGGACTCTCCACTCAAGCCTAGTTTCATAACTAGAGAAAGACAGATCAGCTGCAATGGAAGCAGCAGCATGATTCTACTTGTAGGGGATGCATCTCCTCTGCAGAAAAAATTAGGGAAAAAAACTTTTCTCAGAAAATCATGCAGAAGAATTTCCCATTTTGCCATAACTTGGGAACTCCACATTTCAGGAGGAGGGAAAGGATGGCTGATGATTTTGTTACTTTAGATGAAAATTTACATGCAACTCTTCTTACTCTTTTTATCCCTTTGTCTCTGTTGTTCATTGTTCTGATGTGTCTATTGAAAGTTGTTAGTTAACCATTGTAGTTGTACAGTTGATAAAGATAATTTCATTTTTCCATTTCATATTGAAGTCTTAGGCCCTGCTGTGTCTTCCTTTTCTTCATGATTAGGTTTTCTGTCCTGGATATCCACAAAACAGGCTGCAGGTTGATCCAATGGAGCTCCTATTTTGCAAAATTTTAACATTCTATATCATGAAAAGTGACAAGCATTGAATCTTCCTCAATGACAACTAATGTCAATTGATCCAGACATTCCCTCCTTTTTAAGATTACCTGGGAAGAAAAACCAAATATAATAGAATAATCATAGGGGTTGCGAATTCCTAGTCAATTTGAAAGAAAAAAAGTATAGAAATATTTAAAAAAAATAGGTTATCTAACTTGTACTTTAAAGATATATATTAAATTTTATTAAATATAAAATCTTTAATTAATTATATATAAATTTTTATATCAAACTCATCTTTTTATAGATTTTGAATATAAATATTATATTATATTTCAATTTTACATTTTACATTTTTTTTATCTTGATTGCACAATAAAAAATAACAATTTCTCATTATTTATCTTACCACACTCTCTTATCATGCGACTCGAACTTAAAATCTCTTATTTTCAGTGAAAGAAAATGATCACTGAGTTATTTAGATTGTTAATTACATTTTACATTTTAGTTTAATTGAATTTAGTTTAAAATTTTGTGCAAAATTAATTAAAAATACTGTATTTAATGAAACTTAACATATGCATACAAGTTAGAAAATTCCTATAAAAAATTAATTAATTTTCTTTAATAAATTAAGAATGTGTTTAACTTGTACCTTAAAGATGTGTTAAACACATCTTTTCATTATAAATTTATATTAAAAAAATAAAAATCAACTTTTAATTTATCAATTATTCAATTAAATTTATTTAATAATAAATTTAATATTAATTTTTACATTTTTTATATACATTTATAATAAAAAAATATAAAAAAATCACCCTTATTCTTACCCATAAATCAATATGAAATAAAAACTCATGGTTATGTAAATAATTTCTCTGGTATTCTTATCCCTTTTTTTCTTTTCATACATATCCACTTTTCTGTGTTTAAATTCAACAATTCTAGTGTTTCTCGTGCACTTGCTATTTTGAATTAATACACACCCTACCAGCTTGAGTTACGTTCTCTTTTCTCATAGATGGTTTCGAGCCCACCCCTTTCATAATTTGTTAAAAAAAAAAAAAAAATTCTAACGTCTCTCGTAGGTTTACTTACCAGGTCCAAGATCTGGGTTCAAACCGACCGACCCCACAAAATTGTAATTTATTCAAAAAAAAAATCAACAGTTTATGATCTATTGCATTTTCAGCCGTTGGATTTAAAAA